ATTATTCTCTGAGAAATTATATAACATATGTCAAAAAACACCCTACTTCACCTGGATCTGTCCACTGATACGGATCTGCACCAACATTTAAATGGATCCTTCCTTGTGTGTCATGGAGATGTGTTGAGCTGTTTTAGTGGAATCCTGTTTACAAACATGTAAACCATCCAACAAACAGACAGACGGGTGAAAACATAACCTCCTTGACAATGGTAATTAATCCCTTTATCATTCGGATAACAATGGAGAACAGCCACCAAAACAGGCCCTTTGGTCGACCTTTTCCAGAGCTTTCTGAGCATCCCTGAGGTCTTCATCTGCTGAAGAGGACTGTGATACAGTTAAAAGCTCTGTAAAAAGTACTACTGTTTCAAGTAGTCAAGTATGAATCTCCACACATGACAGTGGGTAAGCCTCCCATCAAGAATAAAATAAAAAGGATCATCTTTTTGATCATCTCTTATTTGGTATTTATGCTTGAAAGATGACGATTGAGTATATATGAAAATATGCAAACAACAGATCATCTTTAGTGTGTGTCTGAAGCTTTAGTAATTCAAGTTCAAGTACCAAACACTGAACAGCATTGAGACACCTACGCACGTTTTAATACCCCTGTGGACCCTGAGAGGTATTATCGTTGTGACTGTGGCGGTTCTGTGTTATCTCTGATGTCAAATTGTGAAAGCACAACGTGGATAGATGCTGCAGATCCTCCCAGGACACAAATCTCAGCCTCACACACCACAGGAGCATGGAGCCATTACATCATCCCCCCTTGCCTTGGGGGAAGCGAGGCATGAGCGCTGACCACTGGGAGACGTGGGGTCATTACATCACTGAGTAAGAGCCCGGAGCAGGCCATAAAAGAAAGAGTGGTGGCTGTGCGGCGGGCGGGGACTCGACAGTGTGCGAGCGGATCATTGCTAATGCTCGGTAATGTTGCTGAGGCACATATAGAGGTCAGGTACGGGGTGTCAGTGTCTGCTTGACGCAATGCTGTGACACATCCGACCCCAGAGTCCATCAGCTGATCAAGCAGACGACCCAGCCAGTAATGAGCACAGTTATCTCCCATTATGAGGATGTGTGCTTTAAAATGTATCTAACTGGGGTATATGTTCCATTTAGGATTTTCCATAATGTATTTTTCTTCCTGGTTATTCACAGTCATCACTCTAACAAATGTTACGAAAGAATTCCTGCATTATTTTACAGGGAAAAAAAACACTGACCTAATTTCAGCTTGGTTGAAGTGGGTGTGTGAGTGGGAGGTGCAGCTTCTAAACTGGATATGCTGTTATGAATGATTTTCCCACCTGCTTGATCACAATGGAACAGAGGATCAACATAACCAAATTTCGTATTTACTTTTTATAAAGGCCAATGCTGGGTTGAGGTCGAGCATGTTAGAACAAGTTAACTGCATAAGAGCTGAACCAGACAGAAAGAACACTGCTTAGTTAAAGTACAGGAACCAGCACACAGAACAGTCCCTTTTTTAAACTGTCAAAGAAAAGATGATTCCTGGATCCGAACCAGTATTGGATGGGATCTCTCCTGACCTACACCACGTCCTTCCAGCAAGTTTTGGGCTAACTTCTGTAGTAGTTTTTTTTTTAAGTAGCAAAAATTGTACTTGTAAGCAAGAACAGTTTTTGCTTGTACTTGCTTACAAGCAAATGCAAATAACCTCCTTGGGGTAAAAATGATTTCTTGCAGTCTGGTAGGAGATATCAGTCAACAACAGCAAAAAGAGCCAGAGTTTGCAACAGCTTCATCCCACAGGCCACAGGACTGTGGAACGCTCTATGAATTTGCACGGTCAAAATAAGCTACCTTTACTTTTAAAACACAGTATTTATTATGTTATTATTATTTTAACTCTGTGCACTTAATGAGTATCGCACTTGTCTTTCAAACTGCTGCTATTTTATTGTCTTTAAACTGTTTGTATGTGCACACGGGTCCTGAGAAACATAAGTTTGCTCAACTGTATGTTTTACAGATATGGCTGGAATGACAAAAATAAATCTGAAACTTCAAAACATCACATCCTGGACAGCGCCTCCTGCTCATGTGTCAAAGTGTCCTTGGGCAAGACACTGAACGCCTGTGCACTCCTGATGGTCAGACTAGAAACTCACATGGTAGCTCGCCCCAATCAGGCTTTAGATTCAAAGACGATTCCTGATAATAGCAAATCATTGTGGATTTTGATCACGACTTTCATGGGAACTGTTGGCAATATGGAAAAGAGACAATTTCCTGCATAAAGAACATCAATCAGACTTATTGTTTAAGTACGAGTGGTCGTACTGCTTCTAAAATGTTATTAAAAACTATTCTGTGGTTTCACCCATCCTTATTGATTGCACCCCTAACCCAGAGAGGACGTCTCACATCCTGCAGCTCAGATCTATTATGTGCAGCTACAGTCTGGATGAGGGGACTGACTCTGCTGAGTAAGAGAGAATAATACCAAAAGGCAGAAGTAGGTTACTGAGGAGGTGGGGAGTGAAAACAGTGAGACGAGGAGTGGAAGAGAAGAGGGGCTGGGAGGAAACAGGTAAATGAATAATGTGGATGAAGAGAGAAGAGGTGATATGACAACATAAAACTGAGGATAAAGACTGAAATCAAGTAAAAGAACAAACAGAGGAAGGAGAAAGACATTAAAACTGTCATCAGTATGCAGCAAAGCATTCGAGCTCATCATCTGTGCATCTCTTTCCTTCCGTCTCCTCTGTTTCTCTGTGATGCGCTGATTATCCTAATGGAAATGACCTCCGTCGGAGACAGTTGAGTGGCCCAAACCTGATTAGTAATTTACCTCCCTTCCATCTCTCTCTCTCTCCTTTATCCTCTCATCACACACAAACAGCACCGTGGTGCCTCAAGTCTTTCTTGAAGTCTTCCCTTCTCTCTGCCGAGTTGTGCCCCCCCCCCCATGGTGACAGTAATCTATTCTGTCCGTTCGTACGAGCCTGGGTTTACAGACACGACAAGCGAGGGTAGCCGGGGGAATGTGTGCAACCGTCTGAGCTCGGCGTTGTTTAAGTGCTTTTAAGTGCTCGCCGTGTCAATGTACACAACATGTGAGGCTTAACAAGTCTCTACAGTGGGCTTGTGTGTTGTTGTAAAAGACGGCAACAACACGTGCGAGCTACAGAAACATGTAATGGCCTGGTTTTGAGAGAGAGAGAGAGAGAGAGAGAGAGAGAGAGAGAGAGAGAGAGAGAGATGCCCTCCAAGATGAGAGCTCTCAGGCGATATAATGGCTCTCCTTTGGGTTCAAATCAGCATGTGCAGAGTGCAGAGCCCACTCACGCCTCTGCTGTAGGTGTGTGCCTATGACGCACGTTGCAAAAGTGAGGCTGTCCGTCAATGTTCTGACCTCATCACTCGCAATCGAGCGGCGGGGCTCCACACCATTAATGTTGAAATCAATACAAAAGAATAAG